TCCTCCTCCTCCTCCTCCTCCTCCCTTGGGCCATCGCGGAGGCATCGTGAGGCCTCGGGAGCCCATCACAGGCGGAAATGTTAAGAATGCAGCAACCTTTGGTTGCGCGGGTCGTGCGGAAGTGCTGGAACGATGCTGGCCTCTCGGAGGGCGGCCTGGGGGGGCTCCGTGGCCACTGAGGTCATCCTGGGGGCCTCTTGGAGCATGTCGGAAGTTACCTTGGGACATCTTGGGGTATCTTGGGCCATCTTGGAGACCATATTGTAGCCATCTTGGTCCATCTTGGAGACATCCTAGTCCATCCTGGGCGCTCTAACTGGTCGAGCCCCCCCCCCGTCCAGACCCAGCGGGAGGGGGGAGGGGCAGGAGTGAGCCCCTCTCCGAAGGGGAACACGAGGGCAAGGGGGATGGAAGAGGAAGCAGTCTGAACCACTCACGCCCTGGAGAGTAGGTGGTTCTCATGGGCTTCGAGGCCGTCTCAAGCGAGAGCCCTGATGTGAAAAACCATTGGCCTCCATTCGCGCTGCTGTTGGAAGCTTTCGAGACGAATATGCGCAGCGCGAATGCGAGCGCTGCGATGTGAAAACCAGCTGCCCTCCGTGCGTGTAAGTGTGGTGGGAAAGCCGAAACCAATGCATGCGGTCCTCAGGCGAGAGCCACGTCTTCAAAATAACCGCCCCCCATCCTTGTGGGCGTTCGAAAGTTCCAGTTTCATGATCATAAGTGGTAGACGGGGTGAGTTGAAGAAGTTTAAGGCGAAACGGCCAGTCTGCTCTACCGACACGTCTGGTGGTTCGATGTGGAGGACTTGCTTATCAGGAAGAGGGCTGGAGGAGAAGGTGAAGAGAAGGAGGCGGAGGAGACGGTGAGGATGAGGCGCAGGAGGATGAGAGAGGACGAGAAGGAGGATGAGGAGGTTGTCAGGGGGAGGATGCACGGGATGAGGAGGGGGCGGTGAGGAGGCGAAGAAACAGGAGGAGGAGAATGAGGAGGAGGAGGAGGAGGAGGAGGCCAAAGGTGAGTAGGAGGAGGAGGAGGAGGAGGATGCGGAGGACGGGGGGGAGGGAGAAAGAAAATGAGGAGACGGAAGAAAAGATGGAGGAGGAGGGGAGAGGAGGAGGAGGAGGAGGAGGAGGAGGAGGAGGACGAGGACGAGGGCTAGAAGACATTGATGAGGAGGGAGGTGATGAGAAAGAGCGAGGGGAAGAAGGAGGAAGAGCTATATGCGTGGCGGGTCAGCAGAAGGAAGTAGTTAGGGAGATGGAAGAGAGGGCTGTTCTGCAGAGGGATGGGGGGGGCGGGGTTGCACGGTCGTGGACCTGCGCGATTGGATTGCCATCAGCATTGCCACCACCGCGATCGGCAGCGGCCCCGTCAAACATGTCAAATACTTCGCGTGACGAGGGGCCCAGTACTGTGCAGCTGCAGGGGATGCGGCGAGGCCAGTCCATTGTTGGTCCAGGGGCGTCGCGTGCGCGGGCGTCAACAGATGAATAACGCGTTGGGCAGCGCCTCTGGCATTCTGAGGGACAGCCGATCCGCTCAGCAGTGGCCACTCGCGCCGTTGTGGTGGTGTACCCCTGGTTTAGCAATGCTGCGCGTTGCATATGTTTAGGTCCAAGTGGCGCCTAGCAGTTCGTCCTGCAGTCCAGGTGCTGACGTAGAGTAGCATTCGTGCTAAGGCTGTTCGAGGAGGACGCGCTCAGGCTTTCTGTTTCGCTTGGAAGTCACACTTCGGCGCATCGCCATGGCTAAACATAAATATGCGCCTTCGTGTTCGCACTTGTACTTCGCGCAGCCGGGAGGGCACATTTTCTGTACACGCACAAGTGCAATCAACGGTATAAGTTGTTTTCAACCGTTTGCCACTGTCTGGGCCACAGCGGAATATGCTCGGGATGATTAAGTTGTCTCTCGGGAGTTCGTATACGTCCAGGCACAGTTTGGGCAGACATCAGCCTGGCGAAGAACCCAATCCCCTTTCAACGTGAGGCGACTACACGCAGGACCGCTCAATACACGAGAATACACGTAGCGAGCTGCAGTAAACCTGGACGATTCGCCAGGGACCTGACTATGGTGCCCCGAAGCGTGTGGGAGGTGTCTGGGGAACGGCTTGGGGGCGGTATGCAAACGTTGCCATTGGGGCCTTCGGTGGAGCTCCCTAGGGGGGCACAACACGTGGGAGGGGTGTGACGAAATGGACGGAGTCGGTGTGCGAACGCTGCCACGGGGGCCTTCGATGGAGCCCCCTGGGGGCCGCGAAACGTGTGAGTGGTGTGACGAACTGGTCGGGCGACGGTATGCGAATGCTGCCACTTGGGCTTTCGGCGGAGCTTCCTATGGGGCCACGAAACGTGTGAGGGGTGTGCCGAAATGGTCGGGAGGCGGTATGCGAACGCTGCCACTGGGGACGTCGGTGAAGTTCCCCGGGGGCCACGAAACATGCAAGGGGTTTGCAGACATGGTCGGGGGGCGGGATGTGAACGCTGCCATTTGGGCCTTCGTTGGAGGTCCCTAGGGGCCACGTAACGTGTGAGGGGTGTGCCGAACTGGTCACGGGGCGGTATGCGAACGCTGTCACTAGGGTCTTCGGTGGTGGTCCCTAGGGGCCACGAAACGTGCGAGGCGTGTAAAGGAATGGTCTGGAGGCGGGATGCGAACGCTGCCACGGGGGCCTCCGGTAGAGCTCTCTAGAGGTCACGAAACGTGTGCGGGGTGTGACGCCATGGTCGGAGGGCGGGATGCGAATGCTGCCACTGGAGCCTTCGGTGGAGCCACCTGGGGGCCACGAAACGGGTTAGTGGTGTGACGAATTGGTCGGGGGGTGGTATGCGAACGTTGGCGTTGGCGCCTTCGGTGGAGGTCCCCAGGGGCCACGAAACATGTGAGGGGTGTGACGGACTGGTCGGGAGGCGGGAGGCGAACGCTGCCACGGGGGCCTTCGGTGGATGTTCCTAGGGGCCACGAAACGTGTGAGGCGTGTGACGGAATGGTCCCGATGCGGTATGCGAACGCTGGCGTTGGGGCTTTCGGTGGAGCCAGGGGCCACGTAACGTGTGAGGGGTGTGACGAACTGGTCACGGGGCGGTATGCGAACGCTGTCACTAGGGTCTTCGGTGGTGGTCCCGAGGGGCCACGAAACGTGTGAGGCGTGTGACGGAATGGTCTGGAGGCGGTATGCGAACGCTGCCACGGGGGCCTTCGGTGGATGTTCCTAGGGGCCACGAAACGTGTGAGGCGTGTGACGGAATGGTCCCGAGGCGGTATGCGAACGCTGGCGTTGGGGCCTTCGGTGGAGCCAGGGGCCACGTAACGTGTGAGGGGTGTGACGAACTGGTCACGAGGCGGGAGGCGAACGCTGTCACTAGGGTCTTCGGTGGTGGTCCCGAGGGGCCACGAAACGTGTGTGTGGCGGAATGGTCCCGAGGCGGTATGTGAACGCTGCCACGGGGGCCTTCGGTGGAGCCACCTGGGGGCCGCGTAACGTGTGAGGGGTGTGACGAACTGGTCGGGGGACGGGATGCGAACGCTGCCACTGGGGCCTTCGATGGAGCTCACCAGGGGACCACGAAACGTGTGAGGCGTGTGGCGAAATGGTCGGGGGGCGGTATGCGAACGCTGGCGCTGGGGTCTTCGGCGGAGCCCCTTGGTGGCCACGAAACGTGTTAGTGGTGCGCCGACATGGTTGGGGAGCGGTATGCGAACGCTGCCATTGGAGCCTTCGGTGCCACGAAACGTGTGAGGGTTGTGACGACATGTTGGGGGGGCGGGATGCGAACGTTGCCACGGGGGCCTTCGGTGGAGCTCCCTGGTGGGCCACGAAGTGTGTCAATAGTGTGCCGAAATAATTGAAATGTGATTTTGCGAACGCTGCCACTGGGGCCTTCGTTGGAGGTCCCTAGGGGCCACGTCACGTGTAAGGGGTGTGCCGGAATGGTCGGGGGGCGGTATGCGAACGCTGCTACAGGGGCCTGCGGTGGAGCTCCCTATGAGGCCAGGAAGCGCGTGAGGGTTGTGACGAAAGTGGCATGTTAATGATCAGGGTGGCAATTGAGTGTAATCGAGATCCAGATGATGATGTTGAGGAGGAGGAGGAGGAGGAGGAGGAGGAAGAGAAGGAGAAGGAGGAGGAGCAGGAGGAGGGGAGGAAGAGTAGAAGGAGAAAGCGAAGGAGGAGACGCGCGGCGCTGCGAATTCAGAACGAGGACCCAACTGTACAAGAGGGTTGGGAACAAAAGGCGTTGATCCTTGATGCGGCTTCTTGTGGTTGGAGCTTCTGAATTCGGCTCCTTGTATGAGGCCCCTGAAGGTGCTACCCTGTCGTTGCATCTCGGACTGTAGTTTGCAGTCGTTGTTGCAGGCCGACATCGTAATTGTTCACGACGCCCCCCTCCAGAGTTCTCGAGCCCTCTCCAGGGACCGGTGTCTCGTCGCAGGCCTGGGGGCCCGCAGCGGAGCTCCAGACCCTTGCCCAGAAAAAGAGGAGCCCGTCGCACTGCTTGTCCGAGGCAGCACCTGCAGGCCTGAGTACTCGGAGTTGAAGGTTGAAGGAGGGAGATGTTTCTCAGATCAGCGCCCTTCGTGGGCCGACTGACTGAGACGCGGCTCCGTCAACAAAGCGTGGATGTGCTTGGCGCCGCAGGGCGCAGGAAGAAGGGCACGAGACACGTCTTGCGGAAGTGCGCGTGCGCGCGCACACCCGTTCCCACCAGCGTTCCCGCCTGCCGCAGGAGGCACGTTTCAGCCCACAGCGCCTGTCCTCGCGCCCGGCCGTGTCCGCAGAAGACATCCCTGGACGCCGCCACCACGCCAGGTCAGGGCCATTCTCAGCCCTGGGTTGGCGCGCGGAGACCCCGGTGGCCTCGGCCAGGCGGGCGTGCACACCAGGTCCGGGGCTGGGCATGGCAGTGGACTATCAGTGCCTTCCGAGTACGTCTTTGAGCTCAGTCGTGCTCATGGGGCCCACGCCGCGTGCCAGGCGGGACCCGCAGCCTTCGGCCCAAGCCGTGTTTTGCATCGGCCCGGCGGGCTCGCAGTGTCAGCGTCGTCTGCTTCAGTCCTCCCATCCATCTCCAGACCTCCGACGTCGTGAATTGCGTGAGAAGCGGCGAGTTTGTGAGCAGCCCGAGCTCCTTCGTCTGCAGGCCTGCTTCTGGTTCTGGGACCTGCATCGAACGATCCAGTATGAGAGACCCGCCCTTCTGGGAAGGAGTCGAGAGGTCCGGGGATCCCGCATCGAAAAAAAACGCACGACGCCGGAGATCTGGGCCCCGGGCGGGCGGCATTGGGGGAGGGCGGGGGGGCGATTCAACGGGCCACCACCCTCCAAACAACCCCAAACCAACCCGAAGGCCCCAATTCCCCCACCATTCCCAATGGGGGGGGGGGGGGGCGTCGGAGAAGACTGGAAACATACGCATGGAACCCGTACGCCCCCAACGCGAAATTCGGGTCTTCGGCTTGGGTTTGGGGGGGGTCTAGTAGGTAGCCACGGGCGGCGGCTTTAAGCTTTGGGCGCAGGCGAAAATCTTGGCCGAGCGCACTCGTCGTCTGGGTGGGGGTAGAGCAGCTGCGCAGGTCTCGGCCGAAGATGGGCGCGGCCCTGCGAGGAGCCGGAAGCCCTGATAGTTCCTGGGCGTGTTCCCTGGGCGCCGCCGCCGTCGAGAACGTGCTCCCGCGCTGCGGGTGCGGTGCGGCTTCCTTGGCCCCCCGCAGGGGCGCGAGGATATGCAGCCGCGCTTCGCGCTCCGCGCTCTCGTCTTCTGGGCTCTGGTCTTGGCGTTCTTTCGGCGGGGGGGGGGAGCCACGCCGGCCTCGGCCGAAGGAGGGGGCGTGGCCCTGCGAGGGGCCGGAAGCCCTGGTGTTCCCTGGGCGCCACCGTCGTCGAGGGCATGCTCCCGCGCTGCGGGTGCGGCTTCCTGGGCCGCCCCCAGCGGCGCGAGGGCACGTAGCCGCGCTTCGCGCTCTGCGGCCTGGGCTGGAGAAATTGTGGTTCTCCAGGGGGGCAGCGGAGACGATCGCGCGTTCGCTCGGCGCGAGGCGCAAAGCGCGACGCTGGGCGACCTCGTTTTCATGAGTCTGGGAAGCGCTGGCGGAGCAGTAGCGAGGATAACTTCATGCTTGGGGGGGGGGCAACACCACGACGCAGGCTAGGTGCCTGCCCCAGACGTCCTCGACGAATCGACGAGCGAGACGAGCAGGGCGACGAATACCGCGCTCCTGAGCAGCGTTGCGATGACACCGCGGCGAAGTGTGTTAGCTCGACCCGAACATCCGCGAGTATGACGAGACGATTACCAAGTAACCCCATGCCCACGATAATAATGTACCCCCCCCTTAAGTCGTTTGAGTTTTTTATCGTCGACCAATAAGAGTTTGGTCGGGGGCGCGGGGCGCGGAGGCCAAACTTCATTATCACCTCGGAACGTTATGTTGAGATAGCAAGATCAAGTTATGTTGAAATAGCAACATCAAGCGAAGCGATCACACTTTTTTCAGGATGTCTCAAGCGAAACCAAGAATTTTGGGAGGCAGACTCAACCGAAACGAGCAATGTTTCAAGGATGTCTCAAGCGAAACCAGTAATTCTGTGAGGATGTCTCAAGCGATTCGAGAAGCTTGTCGAGGATGTCCCAAGCGAAACAAGCATATATTCGAGGATGTCTCGAGCGATTCGAGAAGCTTGTCGAGGATGTCTCAAGCGAAACAAGCATATACTCGAGGATGATTCAAGCGAAACAAGCATATACTGAAGGATGTCTCAAGCGAAACGATACGTTTCTTAAGGATGTCTCAAGCGAAAACAACAATTCTGTGAGGATGTCTCAAGCGAAACCAAGAATTTTGGGAGGCAGGCTCAAACGAAACGAGCAATGTTTCAAGGATGTCTCAAGCGAAACCAGCAATTCTGCGAGGATGTCTCAAGCGATTCGAGAAGCTTGTCGAGGATGTCTCAAGCGAAACAAGCATATACTCGAGGATTGCTCTTTTTCTTCCTCTTCTCTTCTCCTTCTTTTTTCTTAATTCATATGTTTATGTCTTTATATATTTCTTTATTTCTTTTTTTTCCCTCTCTCTCTCTCTCCCCATGCCCCCCTGAACTTGTTTATCCCTGGTGTTGGTTATCCATGGCAAGTGAGCCACACGAGCTACCCTACACGAGCATTTTTTACAAAAACAATCAGAAAGCGCTTGCACATTAAATCTAATAGATTTGGAACTTGAAATGATTGCTCTTTTTCTTCCTCTTCTCTTCTCTTCCTTTTTTCTTAATTTATATGTTTATTTCTTCAGGTATTTCTTTATTTCTTTCTTTTTCTCTTCTCTCTCTCTCTCTCTATCTCTCTCCCCATGCCCCCCTGAACTTGTTTATCCCTGGGGTTGATTATCCACGGAAAGTGAGGCACATGAGCTACCCTACACGAGCACTTAACAATCTTAATTTTCATAAGGCGCGTGTAAATCAAAATTTAATACATTTGAATCTTCAGATTTTTTGTTTAATCATCCTTTCCTCTCCTCTTTTACTTCTCCTCCTCATTTTTTCTTGTCCTTCTCCTTTTTAATTTTTCTTGTATGTATTTCCCTCAACTCTCTCCTTGTTTTCTTTATTTCTCTCTGCATATCTTTCTCTCTCCCCATGCGCCCCTGAACTTGTTTATCCCTGGGATTGATTATCCACGGAAAGTGAGGCACATGAGCTCCTACACGAGCTCTTTTTTTTTTTGTTTTTTTTGTTTTCGAAAAAAACGATTGTACATAAAATGTAATAGATTTGGAACTTGAAATGTTTACTTTTCCTCTTCCTCTCCTCTTCTACTTCTTCTGTTGAATTCTTTTTCTCCTCTTCATTTTCATTATTTCTTCTCTCTCTCTCTTTCTATCTCTCTGTCTCTCTCCCCCCCATGCCCCCCTGAACTTGTTTATCCCTGGGGTTGATTACCCATGGAAAATATGATAGTTTTTTGTTTGTTTTTCCTCTCTGTCTTTTTGTCTCTCTCTGTTTCTCTATCTCTCTCGCCTCTTGCTCCTCTCCTGTCTTCTCCTTTCCTCTCCTCCTCTCCTTCCTCTCTTGCTTTTCAGTATCTCCTCTCTTTTTTTTTTTCTCTCTCTCTCTCTCTCTCTTTCTCAATGTTCATACAGCGCTCCTGAATAAAATCTGATGGATTTGAAACTTGAAATGTTTGCTTTTCCTCCTTCTCCTCTATCTGTCTTTATTTCTATATATATATCCTCTTATTATTATTCTTCTTATTCTTATTATTCTTCTTTATTATAAGTTTTGTTTGTTTTTTTTCTGCGAAATGTGTTATATCTTTCTTATTTTTTTTCTAAAAAATATATGTTTTTTTATACTCTTGTTTTTTCTTCTCTCTCTCTCTCTCTCTCTCTCTCTCTCTCTCTCTCAGAACAACCCCCCCAGCACAACCCTCCAGCACAACCCTCCAGCACAACCCTCCAGCACAACCCTCCAGCACAACCCTCCAGCACAACCCTCCAGCACAACCCTCCAGCACAACCCCCCAGCACAACCTCTTGAGGTTTATTATCGTCGGCAGTTTTTTATCATCGGCAGCGGTCGATAGCAACTCCTGAGCTCTCCGGGAACACGGCGGCACGCAAATGATACGCATGTTTTTGAAAAAAATCATTTTGAAAAAAAAATATTTTATTTAATTGCGAATTCCATTGAAATCTTTTCGAATTTGCGAAATCGAGCCGTCAGGCGCTTGAATGCCGCACTGCGTTCGAGATTTAGGCGAAAGCGTGTGCGACGCAATTTTCTCATGGCGCGCATTTTTTTTTAAAAAAAACCCTCTTTGGACAAAAAATATTATATGTGGTTGCGAATTCCATTGAAATCCTTTCGAAATTGCGACTTCGAGCCCGCACGCGCCTGAATGCCACACTGCTTTCGATATTCGGGCAAAAGCGCGTGCGACGCAAATTTCTCATAAATGCGTCGCGTGCTTAAATCTCGAACGCAATGTGGCATTCAAGCGCCTGACGGCTCGATTTCGCAATTTTGAAAGGATTACAATGGAATTCGCAATTTTTTTTTTTTTTTTTTTTTTTAAGAAGTTTTTTTTCTGTCAAAATGAAGTTTTTCAAAAAATGCGTATCATTTGCGTGCCGCCGTCTTCCGGGAGAGCTCAGGAGTTGCGATTGACCACTGCCGATGATAAAAAACTGCCGGCGATAATAAACCTCAGCCGATGATGAAAAAAACTGCCGACGAAAATAAACCTCAGAGGAGCGCACGGCGGGAGAGAGAGAGAGAGAGAGAGTCTCACCTCTCTCTCTCTCTCTCTCTCCCTCCCTCTCTCCTCTTTCTCTCACTATCTCTCTCTGCTCAAGGTGAGCTGCTGAAGCAGAGCTGCTCAAGCAGATGGCTGCTCAGAGAGCAGAACCAGACAATGAGACCTTCGAGAATGAAAAACACAATTATTTCGAGGATGTCTCAAGCGAAATAAGCAATAGTTTGACGGTGTCTCAAGCGAAATAAGCAATAGTTTCAGGATGTCTCAAGCGAAATACGCAATAGCTTCAGGATGTCAAGGCGGAATCAGCAATAGTTTGATGATGCTTCAAGCGAAAAACACAATTATTTCGAGGATGTCTCAAGCGAAATAAGCAATAGTTTGACGTTTTCTCAAGCGAAATAAGCAATAGTTTGTGGATGTCTCAAGCGAAACAAGGGATTTGTCGAGGATGTCTCCAGCGAGATAAGCCATTGTTGAGGATATTTAAATGAAGACTAAACGCCAAGGATGTCTCAACACGTGTTCGGTTTGGTCTCCTCTTGATCATCTCTTACTTCGAGATTATGCTGAGGTCTGGTGGGCTACTTTGATTATCTCCCCCTGAACCCCGAACTGTATTATCCCCTGGTGTTTATTATCGTGAGCATGGGGTTATCGCGTCTCTGCCCGGCACTTCCCACCTCTGTCCTCAATATGTGTTCCCAGGTCATCGTCTTGAATGCGTGGCGCCCCGTGTCTCACCTCCGTTCTCCTCCCCCTCCCTCCTCCCCCTCCCCTCCTTGCCACTGCCCTCCGCATGCCAACTTGTGCACACCCCGCACACGCTTCGTGGACCCATAGAGGGCTCCACAGAAGGCTCCTGTCCCACGAGGCGCCACAGCTTCATGTCGGCACACCCCTCACGCGTTTCGTGTACCCATGTGGGGGCTCCACCGACGGCACCAGCAGCAGCGCCTACCTGGCGCCACCGCCTCATTGCGGCACATCCCTCAAACGTTTCGGGACCCCGCAGTGGGCTCCACCGAAGGCTCCAGTGGCAGCAGCGCCCGCGTGGCACCATAGCCTCATTTCGGCGCACCCCGAACGAGCTTCGTGGACCCGGATGAAGCTCCACCGAAGGCTCCAGTGGCAGCGCCCGCATGACGCCACCGCCAAATTTCGTCGCACCCGAGGCCCAGCGGCAGCGCCCGCATGGCGCGGCCACCTAATTCCAGCACGCACCTCACACACTTCGCGGCCCCATAGGCTGCATCCCCCTGCAGACACATGTATGACGCCGCACATGGCGTGACCGTCCCCGTGCACGAAATGTCCCACGGCGCGCATCGTGTTAGCGTTCCCTGGCACAAACTGAATCACGGCGGACATGGAGTGAGCGTCCCCTTGCAAAAAGTCAAGTTTGTGCATATTCAGGAGCTTATCCGTGACTTCTGGGCCCCAGGTGGAATCCGAACAAAACAGGCGCCGCAGACGTAACGGATCCTCATTTCCCCCCAAGCAGCGTCTTGTAAACCAAAAAAAGATGGTCTTACTCATCAGTTGAGGAAATGGTTTTCTGGGTTTCCGCCATGCCGTCTGTGCGACCTCGTGGGCGCCTCGTGGGTGTCGTCTCGTGGGCGCCTCGAGGGCGGACCTTGCGTTGGGTGGGTTTCCCGCGGTTCCACCACGTTGCCGCCCGTGCCGCCTCGTGGGCGCCCCGTGCTCTGAGCCTACCCGGCGCAGATTTCACCACATAAGTTTCTGCCACACAGTTTACACCACATAGCTTGCACCCCATATGCCATACAGGACATCTCACATCACATAGTGTACGCCCCATAGCGACCACCTCCAGTTCAGACCGCCTAGCTTACAAGACACAGCTTGCCCGACCTAGCGTTCACCGCACAGCTATCACTTCCTCAACTCACACCACATAGCTTACACGACATTGCGTTCACCACGTAGCTTACAACGCATAGCTTGCATCTCCACAGTGCAGCAGCGCACTGTTTGGGGTCCACGCCGAATAAGATGAACAAGTTGCCAGTTCGGGCCTCCAGGGGCCTTCCGTGGGCCCCCCCGCCAGCCTCCTGGGGGCCCTGAGCGCGACAGCCACGAGGACCTGCACTCGGCGCACATTGCTCAGCGTCCCTGTTGCAGGACACGTGTCATGGCGCACGTGGCGTTAGCGTCGACCTGCAAAAAACGCACCACGGCGCACATGGTGCAAGCGCCCCCTGGCACGAAATGCTTCACGGAGCACACAGCGTGAACGTCCCCTTGGCCAAACATGTACCACGGCGAAAATGGCCAAACATGCGTAACAGCTTACATTTAGAACCGTATATGCGCCCTCTGGACCCCAGCAGGAATCCCGAACGTCAGGGCGCCGCAAACAAAACGGATTCCGTTTTGTATATGGCCAGTTCAGGCTTCTGGAGGCTTCCCGTGGGGTCTGGTGTCCAGGGTGCGGCACTTACGAGGATCTGCATTCTCTGCCCACATGGCACTAGCCATTAGCACCCCCTTGCAAAATCTGCTTAACGGCGCACGCTGCGTCAGTGACACTTGTGAAAACATGTGTAAAACTTGTTTTACACGCATCGAGGCACCATAAGGAGCTCCACCGAAAGCCCCATTGGCAACGGCCGCATACTTGGAAGCTCCATGTCGGCGCACCCCTCGCACCTTGTGCGACCTCACAAGGAGCTCTACCTACGGCCTACGTGGGTGAGTTCGCGTGGGGCCCCCCGCCCAACTCGGAACACTCATCCTAATCGTGTACTACAGGGAGTGTAGCGCGTCTGTGGGCGTTTGCTCCGCAGCGCCCTACACGCAGCTGCAGAAGGTTGGGCCCTTCGCCAGGATATCTTTACGCTCGCCAGCATACAACTTCAGATGGTTGTTTGCGTCCGTGGTGAGGAAAAGGCAATGCACTGGCAATGCTAGTGAATTCCTTTTGCCCACCGATTAGTTGCGCCCCCTTGCCGCCCACCCGGCCATCTTGGAAACATGAACATGGCCATCAAGGTGTTCAGGTGTTTGTTGTGCTCTGTTGTCCTTGCAGGCGCTGCGCGCACGTCGGCCGAGTCGGAGCTCGAAGGCGGGGGTCCAAAGTCAAACCACAGTGCCCTTGTTCAGATTGGGGGGTCAAGCGATGGCTGTAGCGACAATCCGATGTGCAAGTTGCAAAGCTGGTCTGACTGGAAGGATGAAGCGAAGAACCAGAATATCGGCAGCAACCTCTGGATGTGTTCTGAAGACTCGAGTATCGGCCACGAGTTTGTGTTGCTAGGCAGGCCTGAGGCGTGGTCCTGCACTGACGATTCTCAGAATTGCTATAGCCCCACATTCAATGGCAAATACAAGGCGTCTTGCGGTGATTCTCTTGGTTGGCGCGGCGGCAGACAGTCATCATCAACTTCAGGCAGCACAGGCAGTGGCGGAGTCACGTGTGATGAGTTTGCTTCGAAGGAGACGCGGTGCTACCAATGGACAAGTGTCGACCCAACGTGTTCGCGCACCATCGCGGATCAAGTCGCCACACATTTTCATAACCACCGCAGCTACAGTATTTGGGCAATGTGTGGTACGGGGACCGAGTCAAGCCGCTTGCAGCAGGGATGTGATGGCTGGTATGCCAGCAGTTCGAATACAGGACCAGCCTGGCTGCAGGCGCAAGAAGGAAAGATTGCACTTTGTTGGGATCTCACAAAGGCGTTCAAGGCCCTCTACTGCTACTACACGCGCACCAGTGAGCACTCCTGCTGAGACCGCACCGCCGCTGGTTAACACGCAGGTCAGAGCAGTGCGCAACGCAAGAGGGAAAGTATGCCGTCGGCTCGTATCGCGCGAAGAAAATGCCTCCGTCAAGCACTTTGCGCAGATCCTTGTTGTGGCGTTCTTGTTCACAACGTGGCCCTTCACAACGTGGCTCCCCAAAGCTTTCGACCCGTCCCCAGAACCAGGTTGTCGTCGCGGGTCGTATTTTGATCGTCCTGGGGCCCAGAAGTTGCCACGGGGGCCTCAAGTACCGAAGCGCGACCGTCGTGTTTGAGTTGCTTTTCGGCCACAGACTGGTAGCAGGGCCTTGCGCGTGCGCATCGTGGCTGCGCCGTCCGCCGGTGGGGAAGAAAAACGCTTTCACGTGTTAATCGTTAGCCATTATCTGTCTCAACATGGCGCGACGCCCAGAGGAAGCTTGCGGATATGGTGCATCGAGTGCCCCGGCGAACAGATCCCCAACGAGATTTGGCAGATTGGGATCAACGCATCGTGCTGCTCAGGTCGTTTAGCATGCGACGCATGGGACCCTGTAATGGAATGGAGGTATGTTTTTTGTTGAGGCTCCTGAGGGCCCGATAGCGTCTTGAAGGCGTCCTCGCGGCGCCCTTCGCAGGCCTCCAAAGCTGAGGGGTTCATTGCGGTAAGCGTGGACTGTTCGGCGACGGCGTTCGCACTTCCACGGGTTGACAAGACGTCACGCGCACTTGAAGTCATTATTGCACCCTCATTCGGGCAGGCACCTTATCCTCATCCTCATCCTCCTCCTCTCCATCTTTCCTTCGTCATCATCATCTCCATGGTTCCGTCAGGCTCCATGGCAGCGCGTGCTCACTGGGCGCCCTGGGGGTACCCTAGCCACCCACGGTTCCGACGGGCTCGGTGAGTGCGCGCGGTGCTAACGGGGCCCACCGACACGGGGTCATCCTTACTGCCTGCGCCGTGGTCCCGATTAGGTTCTACGTCGTTCATGCGGCCGCATAGGTCCCCACCACGTTTTCACTTTCTGCCGCTTAGGCTTTTCGGAGGGGGCCGTGGACTCCTATCATGGGCCCTCGGCCAACGAAGACGGACCGAGGACTCCTTTTTTTAGACCATCGGCCAATGAAGACGTCCATGAAGGAGGGTCCACACGTACCTCCACCTTCTTTACACCGTACACCGTAGCCCAGTACACCAGTCAATGGGTTCCGCATCTTCCTCCATGGGGCCGTGAACGGGATTCATCCCGTGCCGGCCAGCGGTGCCTGCCAATGCCAGTCCACCACATCAGTACATCAAGGGTCGCCCAGCGTCGTCCGTGCCATGGTGTCCCGTCAGGCCTCCATGTCACTCGTGTGGCTTCGCTGTGCCTCCCAGACATTCCGGGGAGCATACCCTACCCACGCCACGGTCCCGTCAGGTTCCATGTGTTTTTGGGCAGGCCATACCCTCGCCCTCCGCAGCACGAAGGTGGGTCGCGGTCCCCATCATCTTCGGCAGGCCGGGCCAAAGCCATTGGCAGGTCAACGGGCGAGCGGCGGAAGCCTGGCGGATGGCGGTGGTGGGCACGCGGAGGGCCGTGGAAGGAAAGCACCCGGCCTCTTCCTCCGCTGAACGACACGTGCGAGGGGCGTGCCGATCGGGGGCGGTATGCGAGCGCCGCCAGTGGACCTTCGGTGGAGCTCACGATGAGGCCACGAGGCGCATGAGGGGCGTGACGAAAGTGTGATGATAATGATGAGGGTGGCAATTGAATGTAATCGGTATCAAGATGATGATGCTGACGAGAAGGAGGAGGAGGAGGACGAGGAGGACGAGAAGGAAGAGAGGAGGAGCAGGAGGAGTAGGAGGAGACGCGCGGCGCTGCGAGGATCCTCGAGGAGTGGAAACAAAAGGCGTTGATCCTTGTATGCGGCTTCTTGTGGCCAAAGCTTTAACTGTCTCTGGGTCTTCTGAATATGGCTCCTTGTATGAGGCTTCTGAAGGTGCTACCCTGTCTTTGCATCTCGGACTGTAGTTTGCAGTCGCTGCTGTAGTCCCATTGCTAGAGTTCCAACCGTATCCAGAAGGCCGACATCGTTATTGTTCACGACGCCCCCTCTACCAGAGTTTTCTCGAGCCCTCTCCAGGGACCGGTTTCTCGTCGCAGGCCTCGGGGCCCGTAGCGGAACTCCAGACCCTTGCCCAGAAAAAGAGGAGCCCGTCGCACTGCTTGTCCGAAGCAGCACCTGTAGGCTTGGGTACTCGGAGTTGGAGGTTGAAGGAGGGAGATGTTTCTCAGATCAGCGCCCTTCGTGGGCCGACTGACTGCGATTCGGCTCCGTCAACAAAGCGTGGATGTGCTTGGCGCCGCAGGGCGCCGGAAGAAGAGCACGAGACACGTCTTGCGGAAGTGCGCGTGCGCGCGCACACCCGTTCCCACCATCGCTCCCGCCTGCCGCAGGAGGCACGTTTCAGCCCACAGCGCCTGTCCTCGCGCCCGGCCGTGTCCGCAGAAGACATCCCTGGACGCCACCACCACGCCAGGTCAGGGCCATTCTCAACCCTGGGTTGGCGCGGAGACCCCGGTGGCCTCGGCCAGGCGGGCGTACACACTAGGTCTGGGCTGGGCATGGCAGTGGACTATCAGTGCCTTCCGAGTACGTCCTCGCGCTCAGTCGTGCTCATGGGGCCCACGCCGCGTGCCAGGCGGGACCCGCAGCCTTCGGCCCAAGCCGTGTTTTGCATCGGCCTGGCGGGCTCGCAGTGTCAGCGTCGTCTGCTTCAGTCCTGCTATCTCCAGACCTCCGACGCCGTGAATCGTGTAAAAAGCGGCGAGTTTGTGAGCAGCCTTTGTCGAGCTTCTTCGTCTGCAGGCCTGCTTCTGGTTCTGGGACCTGCATCAAACGATCCAGTACGAAAGACCCGCCCTTCTGGGGAGGAGTCGACAGGTCCGGGGAGCCCGCGTCGAAAAAAAAGGCACGACACCGGAGGTCTGGGCCCCGGGCGGGCGGCATTGGGGGAGGGCGGGGGGGCGAGTCAACGGGCCACCACCCTCCAAACAACCCCAACCCACCCAACCCGAAGGCCCCGATTCGCCCTCCGTTCCCAAGGGGGGGGGGGGCGTCTGAGAAGACTGGAAAAATACGCGTGGAACCCGTACGCCCCCAACGCGACATTCGGGCCTTCGGGTTGGGTTGGGAGGGGGTCTAGTAGGTAGCCACGGGCGGCGGCTTTAAGCTTTGGGCGCAGGCGAATATTTTGGCCGAGCGCACTCGTTTGGCGTTTTTTTGGGGGGGGGGTAGAGAACTGCACCAGTCTCGGCCGAAGGAGGGGGCGTGGCCTTGCGAGGGGCCGGGGTGTTCCCTGGGCGTGTTCCCTGGGCGCCACCGTCGTCGAGGACATGCTCCCGCGCTGCGGGTGCGGCTTCCCTGGCCGCCCCCTGCGCCTCTGCGGCCTGGGCTGGAGAAGCTGTGCTTCTCCAGGGGGGCAGCGAAGACGATCGCGCGTTCGCTCGGCGCGAGTCGCAAAGCGCAACGTTGGGCGACCTCGTCTTCATGAGTCTGAGAAGCGTTGGCGGGGCAGTAGCGAGGATAACTTCATGCTTGCGGGGGGGCAGCACCACGACGCAGGCTAGGTGCCTGCCCCAGACGTCCTTGACGAATCGACGAGCGAGACGAGCAGGGCGACGAATACCGCGCTCCCGAGCAGCGTTGCGATGACACCGCGGCGAAGTGTGTTAGCTCGACCCGAACATCCGCGAGTATGACGAGACGGTTACCAAGTATCGCGTCTCTGCCCGGCACTTCCCACCTCTGCCCTCAACATGTTTTCCCAGGTCATCGTCTTGAATGCGCGGCGCCCCGTGTCTCGCCTCCGTTCTCCTCCCCCTCCCTCCTCCCCCTCCCCTCCTTGCCACTGCCCTCCGCATGCCAATGTGTGCACACCCCGCACACGCTTCATGGACCCATAGAGGGCTCCACAGAAGGCTCCTGTAGCAGCCCCCACGAGGCGCCACAGCTTCATGTCGGCACACCCCTCACGCGCTTCGTGGACCCATGTGGGGGCTCCACCGACGGCACCAGCAGCAGCGCCTACCTGGCGCCACCGCCTCATTGCGACACATCCCTCAAACGTTTCGGGACCCCGCAATGGGCTCCACCGAAGGCTCCAGTGGCAGCAGCGCCCGCGTGGCACCACAGCCTCATTTCGGCGCACCCCGAACGAGCTTCGTGGACCCAGATGAAGCTCCACCGAGTGCCCCACTGGCAGCGCCCGCATGACGCCACCGTCGAATTTCGTCACACCCAAGGCCCAGCGGCAGCGCCCGCATGGCGCGGCCACCTAATTCCAGCACGCACCTCACACACTTCGCGGCTAGGCTGCATCCCCCTGCTGACACATGTATGACGCCGCACATGGCGTGACCGTCCCCGTGCACGAAATGTCCCACGGCGCGCATCGTGTTAGCGCTCCCTGGCAAAAACTGAATCACGGCGGACGTGGAGTGAGCGTCCTTCTGCAAAAAGTCAAGGTTGTGCATCTTCAGGAGCTTATCCGTGACTTCTGGGCCCCAGGGGGAATCCGAACAAAACAGGCGCTGCAGACGTAACGGATCCTTGTTTTCCCCAAGCAGCGTCTTTTAAACAAAAAAAGAGGTTCTGACTCATCAGTTGAGGAAATGGTATTCTGGGTTTCCGCCATGCCGTCTGTGCGACCTCGTGGGCGCCTCGTGGGCGCCTCGTGGGTATCGTCGCGTGGGCGCCTCGAGGGCGGCCCCTGCGTTGGGTGGGTTGCCCGCGGTTGCACCACGTTGTCGCCCGTGCCGCCTCGTGGGCGCCCCGTGCTCTGAGCCTACCCGGCGCAGATTTCACCACATACGTTACTGCCACACAGTTTGCACCACATAGCTTGCACCCCATATGCCATACAGGACATCTCACATCACATAGTGTACGCCCCATAGCGACCACCTCCAGTTCAGACCGCCTAGCTTACAAGACACAGCTTGCCCGACCTAGCGTTCACCGCACAGCTATCACTTCCTCAACTCACACCACATAGCTTACACGACATTGCATTCACCACGTAGCTTACAACGCATAGCTTGCATCTCCGCAGTGCAGCAGCGCACTGTTTGGGGTCCACGCCGAATAAGATGAACAAGTTGCCAGTTCGGGCCTCCAGGGGCCTTCCGTGGGCCCCCCCGCCAGCCTCCTGGGGGCCCTGAGCGCGACAGCTACGAGGACCTGCACTCGGCGCACATTGCTCGGCGTCCCTGTTGCAGGACACGTGTCATGGCGCACGTGGCGTTAGCGTCGACCTGCAAAAAACGCGCCACGGCGCACATGGTGCAAGCGCCCCCTGGCACAAAATGCTTCACGGAGCACACAGGGAGCTCCACCCAAGGCCCAGCGGCGGTGCCCGCATGGCGCGACCACCTAATTTCAGTACACGCAGACACCTCACACACTTCGCGGCCCCATAGGCTGCCCCCCCTGCAGACACATACATCACGCCGCACATGGCGTGACCGCCCCCGTGCACGAAATGTCTCACGGCGTGCATCGTGTAAGCGTCCCCGGGCAAAAACATAATCACGGCGCAAATGGAATGAGCGTCCCTCTTCAAAAAAGGTGTACAGCGCACATTCAGGAGCTTATCAGTGCCTTCTGGGCTCCAGAAGGAATCCGAAAATGGAGGCGCCGCAGACGTAACGAATTCCTGGTATGAAAGGTACCACTCCAGGCGTCCCAGAGACCCCCGTAGCCCCCCC